TAATAGTTTAACTCTTCAAAATATAGAAGAACCTGGACTCAACCTGACCAAGGTTTAACTTCTTCTCCCCATTAGAGTTTTCCTCTACCCAACAAGTTATTGTGAAGCCTGGATCCGACCAGATGGCAATTACCCTCAGAGATTCATTTTGAAACCTGGAAACTGACCAGATAATAAATAAATCCCCAAACAGTTTATTGTGAAACCTAAACCCGACCAGATAGCAATTGACCTCATCAACCTCAAAAATCTGCAAAGCCTGGACCCGACCAGCCGACAATTTTTCAAACATTTTATTGTGAAACCTAGAGCCCGGCCAGATAACAATTAACTATGATCCCCAGAGAGACACTATGATGTCTGGACTCGACCAGATAATATTACAACTTTCCAAAAACCATGTAACCTGGACCCGACCAGATAGTAGTTACCACTTCAAGTTACTGCGAAGCCTAGATCCGACTAGATAACAGTTAACTTCCGTATCCCCAGCAAGTTGTTCTGAAGCCTGGATACGACCAGATAACTTTTCAATTTCAAGAAATTTTCTGCAAAGCCTGGAATTTGACCAAGTAACAGTTAATTCATCTCTTCCCCCAATAAGTTATCGTGAAGCCTGAAGCCGACCAGATAGCAGTTGACTACTTCATCCTCAGCAAATTGTGAAGCCTGGATCCGACCAGATAACAACTGACATTCAAGAGATATTCCCCAGCGAAAGCATCCTTTCAAAAAAGTTTGAAGATATGAATATTCTTCATCCCCAACGGCAATCAGGGATTCAATCCCCCAGAATATCCACAACAGCAGTCAGGGATTTATTTTCCCGGACAGAAACATACATCTCACATTCATACATCACGGCATGTACATACCATATACGTTTAACATGATACCATATTTGGCGAACATCATGCATGCATCTGCATTTTACTAACTCTTTTTCCCACAGGTAAAACATCAAGTTTTAGTATGAATCAACAAGAGATTTGTGTTGATACTTCTTCCAGTGTTTACCAACATTCCTCCAAATGACATCTATAAGCCTATTCACCATCCATCTTCGAGTGCAAATTTCTGGGCACTCTAGTGTTCAATCATCTTTCACCTTTAAGTCACGAATGGCGGATCCGCCAATCTAATTCTTCATGTTTAAGAAGATTGAACAGGGGAAACTGTTGTACCCCAAAATTTGCCCTCTCATTTATCAAGTAATCTCTCACAATATCTCATTCGGTTCAAGACTGCATTAGGTTTGATCAGCTCAAGGTACCTACTCAAGCACCGATAACTGGAAATTAGGGTTTGAGATTGCACAAGGATAAATGGACTTTTAATGTCCCATATGACTTTCATGGATTATTTTGGATCCTCAAGACTTTTCATGTCAAGTTTCAAGTCTTGGATCACATTTTTGCTCAGTCAATTGACCAGTTGACCTAAAAATCAGTTGTATTCAGGAAAAAGTCAATTGTACACCGAAAGGTCAAACTTTTACTTTTTAATCAAAATCAAGTTTCAAAGATTAAAATTCATCAAGATATTCAAAAATATCAAGCTTGGTCATCAAGAGGTCAAGAAATTCAAAAGTCAACTTGAAAAGTCAAGATTTCCAAGACTTAAAAATTTTCTAAGTATTTTTATACATGATAATTTCATCACTTCATGCCATTCTTTCACCAAGATGCAAGACGGTTCAAGGGAAACTTTCAACATGAAAGTTGTAGATCTCCATGATATCTACAACATTGCTTCACACAACTTCTCCTAGAGGTTCTTGGATTTTGAGTTATAAATTCATGAAGTCATGACATTTTCATTTAACACTTGGAGAAATTTTCAACAAATTTTGTTCAGGATTTTATCCCAACTTCTTGGCCAATTTTCATCAAGTTCCAGTTTGATTTAACAAAAGTGGTCAACATGAAAGTTGTAGAGGGTGTTTCAAGCTTTCCAAAACATTCAAGAGCATGAATTTATAATACTTGAGCTAGGAGATTCAAGGGCTTGAAATTGGGCATCTATCCTTGAGTTGCAAGTCATTCTCTTGAAGAACACATAACCGAACTCTTATGATTTGCTGCATAATCTTATGTTGCAGGCTTCCTTGCTTGCAAATCTAATCATAATTTAATGCTTACACCCACTCTTGAGCTATTACCCAAGTGTTTAAACCAATGTCCAAAAGATCTTTCCATTTATGGCATAAAGGCACCGTTGCTATTCTTGAAAAGCAAGCTTTTTGTACAAAGTTTGTCTTGAGCCCATACCTTGCTGGCTGCTGATTATACTCCACCATAAATCATGGGAAGAAGCTCCTCAATACTAGAAACTTTTGTAGTTCATCTTGGGACTATGGAGTACTTGACTTAGTTTGATCTTTGTAATCCAACCAAAGCATAACATGTTGTTTTGAAAACCTAATCAGCTCATATTCACAAACCCCTTGCCTATAAATAGAAGAAGCATTTGCAAGAGAAAGAGGTTAGAAAAAATAGAGAGAAAATCCAGAAGTTTTATTGTAAACTAGCCATCAAGATCCCATACTCTCCAAAAAGCCATAAATATCCAAAAAAAGCTTCCACTCTTGAGTTTTAAAGTCCAAATATTTGGAACTCTCACACCTTGCAAGCTCTATCCAAACATCTAAGCACCTCATATACATCACCTAGAAATTGTTCAAACTCAAGAACAAGCTTCTACAACACCTCTGTTTTCTTTTCCAAGTTCAAGAACAGTCAAGACAACAACTCAAGCTCAGAGTATAAGACCCAGCTCCAAGGTAAGTTTTTTTTTACTTTAGTTCTTCATTTCAAGCATCATTAATAATTCCTTTTGTAAAGACAAAGTGTAGTAACCTTTGTCCTTGAAGCTAACCTTTTGTTTACCTTCCATTCTTTTCATTATGTGTTAAGAACTAACCCATATATGTAGCAAAACAATGTTGAAATAAAAAAAAAGATAGTATGAGTTGACCCATAGCCTTATGAGTCGATACATACTGCTTTACAATCCCAAAACAGAAAGAAAAATAGTGTATGAGTTGACACATAGCCTCATGAGTCGATACATATTGCTTTACAGGCCCAAAACATAAGAAAAAATAGTGCATGAGTAGACACAAAGCACATATGAGTCGACACATGCAGTGTATGAGTCGACACATACCATTATGTATCGACTCATACTGAGTTGATTTGGTAATACAAGGGCAAGGAAAGTTATGTGTTGATGCATGTGAGCTTGTGTCGACACATAATAGTTCAAAATGCAATTTTTCCTCCTTTTTGCACTGTTTTTACATTTCCTTCATTGTTATTCGATATGGTTGTAATATTTAAATTCCTATTTCATCCAATTTGTAAATTGTACCCCCATACCCAAATGATGTAATAGCGTAGGACTTTACATTTCCGCAATTTATCGCTTTCAAATACAAATGCTAGTAATTAGGGTTTTGTATGGAAAGGCTAAAACCAATCAATAGAAAAACCTAATCAAAGACAAAAACAATGCATGAAAATCAATACACTTGTATAAAAACACCCTTAGGGTAATCCCGCTTTGTTTCCTTTCGGAAAATAGTCATGTCCCTCGAATATGGGAGTTTTAGAAAAGACCCTCGATAAAAGATCGTAGTCCCTCGATGACCCTCAATGTTTCCTTCGGTAAATGATCTAGTCCCTAAACAACATTGCTAAAATGTACCATAGGTTACCTTCTATGACTATACAAATGTCCCTATGCCCGTCCCTTTACATCCAAAGATAGGGTTACTTACCAAATCGATGGTAAGATAACAATGTCAAAGGAAAAAGAAAATGAACATTAAAGACTTTTGAGTAGGTAGAATGTTCCTAGTTACTTGCTCAAATTCAAAACAAAAACATTATTGCTATTTTTAAAATAAACACCAACACTTTCAAAACATCTTTCAAAACTTGAAAACATTTTCAAAAGATTAAACACTTTGTATACATTCTTACGAACGAGAATTATTACAAAGTTTGCCTAAACGATGGCCCCTTTTCAAAATACTTTCAAAAACCACATAACGCACATTTTCAAACAAAAGCAAGTGATCTAGCAAGTAACTAAGAGCCCATGGAAAACCATGGATGAAAAGGGTGCTAATACCTTACCTTTTCATAATCTACCCCCCGAACTCAAGAAATAATCTCAAAGGTCTTTCCTGTGCTTTTTCACCTTTTATTTTGGATAAAAGAAAAGTCGGTGGCGACTCTTGCTAACCGCAACATTTGCGATCAAATGCAAAACACCCAAGTCAGTTATCCCACTATATCACACTAATATTGGTCCTTGCTATTAAATACTAGTGAAAGATTTTATTGTGAAAATCTCTTATGATTGGAATGTTAAAGGAATCAAGGATTATAGAAAGGTGTGTGGTAGAGGAAATTGTGTGAAGTTTTCCTCCAACATTAATGACTATTTGGGCAGAAGCAACTCTGCAGGATCAAACAAGTTCCTTATATTGACATGATTACTAAAAATATTGGTTATAATATTAATGTATTTAAAAATGGTAATGAAAATGTCAACCAGGATGTGCCTGATAACCTGTATGATGTGATGGTGACTGGGTTTCTAACTCCGAGGAAGGATGGACAAGTTGCGTCTATTAATTTTGAAGTGAATGATATGGTTAATAATGTGAGTGACAACATTAATGATGTTTTAATGATCCTGTCAGTGCTAATGAGTGTTTTATCCATAATAATAATAATGAAGTTCATGATAGGTCTGCTCCTGTCAATGAAAGTGTAACTAAATATGATTGTCTTAGTTAAAGTTCTGATAAGAAGTTAAATAAAATGGTAGGAAATAGAAAGGTTTTTCTCAAGGCTCAAAGGACTCCTTCCAAGAAGACCCCTACTCCCACCAAGGCAAAAAAGATTCCCAAAAATAAGAAGAAGAATAAGAATAATAATAAGAAGAAGAAATATGTGGTTGTTAGTAATAAATCAACTAGGAAGAAAATGAATATTGCTCATCATAAGAGAATGGATCTTGAAAAAGAACATTATGTTGAAGAACTGAAATATAATGAAATTATGGAGCATGTTAGTGATGCTCAGTTATTAAAAACAATTATGAATGATGGATCTGGTTATCCTATGTTGATAAAGGAAATTTTGATTAAGAATGTTGGTATTTCTCCTGGGTTGCTGAATTTGAGTTACATTTTACATGTTGGGAAAGATGTCCTAGACATTGTGATATACATATGTGCACCTGTTGATGAAACTGATCTGATTTTTGATAAATAAATGTTGGATATTTTTGACCTCAAACTTGTTATTGTTTCTAATGCAAGTTTATGGGGAAGATGATGATATGATGATTTTCAAGAAAGAATAGAGCTTCCAATTGGTGTTTGTAATAAGTTATGCGTTGTTGTTATCTGCAAGTCTATGTTTATGGTTGTGATGTATCTAACACATTGTGAGTTTCATTATACTCTGATAATCTAATATAGAAGAATATGTGTAGCATCCTGGATATCTACAAGATCTGCTGTTGGTTTGTGGTTTGATGTTGGTCCTATGTCCTTTGTCTCTTTTAAGGTAAAGAGGGGGAGAAAAGTAAAAGGGCACACTTCTTTGGTTATGTTTGTCTATTGTGCTCTAGTTGTGGTGAAATATTGAAGAAGTGTTTAATTTGTGATTCGCCTACAAAATGGCCAAAGGGGATATTGTTGTTCCTTTGATTGGCTTATTTTTATATGCAAAATGGAAAGGAAAATGTCTAGAACATGTTGTGGAACATCTTGGCGCGCAAACTGCTAGTACTGAATTTAGTTAGAAAATCTTTATTGATTATGGAACGATCAAAAGATGTCTTTTGGATGCAGTCTGGAAAAAGATTTGGATTTAGTATGCTTTGAAGGAAGATCTGGTTCTCTTTGAAGGAAGATTTGGTTCTATGTTCTGAGCTATTTGGTAGTATTCATCTGGTTTGATTTATTTTAAGGTCTGTGCCAAATTGAGGAAAAAAATGAGGAGTAATATGATGTGCGCTCACATGTTGGAACATATGGAATGTCATATGGCCCTCAAATATGTGTGGCTATATGATAAGATCTCTAGGTGTAGTGGTGTATTTGCGAGTGTGCTGACCTGGCTGACTACTTGTTAATTTTGGAATTTCGACTATGCGAATGTTGAGCTGTAATGATACATCCTGGAAGAAATTTAGTTCGAAAGGAAGCATGAAGGAAGTCTTATGAAGATTTCGATGAACAAAAACTAGTAAGAATTTCATTTTGCTAAGTATTGGTGAAAGGTTCGTTTGTGAACCATTAGAACTTAATTTATTCGAAGTATTATTAGAATAAACATTTCGACCATCACGTCTATACTTTTTGGCACTTCGAAGACAAAAGGGTTTTCAAAATTTGAAAGTTTGATCTTTTCCGAAGAGACGCGTGAAAGCCTCAAGATATTCGAAGAACATTCAACAATGAACGTGGCGTCATTTTACAAGGAGACTGCTATGGTCAAATTAGTATAAATTAGGATCTTAGCATTAGGATTCAGGGTGTTCACATCTTTGTACAAACTAATCTAAATTACTCAAAGTACCAGTGTTCGAGAAATGAGTTGTGAGAATGTACGTATGATGCACTAGTTTCATGTTTGTTATCATTCATTTTCAATTGAAGTTTTATATATTCCTTTTAAGTTTAAATTTAAAGTCTTTTATATACCAGTCCTTTCTTTGAAACGTTATATTACAACCTTCGAAGGAACAACCAAAATCAATATTATTTAAAAGATCATGAATGTTATCGAAAATATACGTTGTTTCCAAGAACAAAAGATTGAACAAGAACACATGTCCTTAGGATCAATCTGGTTGATCCTGCAAGTTACCAATCTTTTCTTTAATTTGGAAGAAGATTGTTTGTTTACCAAATTTCAAGGTAAACAAATTGGCATGCCTAGTGGGACTTGTGTTCAATAAACAAATATTTTTGTTCTAGTAATTTTTTTTTGAAAGTCTTCATCATCCTTTTGTATTTTTCTGTTTTGTATGAGACTTAAAAGTGGTAAATTAGCCACAAACAACAAGTAAATACCTAAGAGAAAGTATGTTTGGGAACTGGCAAACTAAAGCCAGATAGGTAATCAGAATCATCCTAACAACGATAAGATACCACCCCAGCCATTTCAACAGGGGGAACTACAGTTTCTGTGCCTTTTTTAGAAGATATACCTTCTTCAACAAGTTCAACACCAACACACTCGAATGCTTATACTGGCCTTATTTTGACCTATATAGGCCCCATCATAGGGAAATACTTTCCATAGGCCTAAGAGGGTGCCTGGTTTTTCCATGCCTCAAAATGGTCGTGAGCAGCCTTATGGCATGCCATCTTCATTTATGATGGGTTTACATAATTCCGCTTCAACATACTCATATCCTACGATGAATGTTACTTCACCATTACAAGATTATGGATCTGCTGTTAATACCAGGGGTCGAAATGTCCAACCACAGGTAGAATGAGTTTCTTCCCAAATTCCAAATTTAACAAATCACTCTGCAGTAGTAATTAGACAGCAAATGGATGAAAGTAACCATGAAATAGTCCAAATGCTTTCACAAACAATGGTTACAATCTTTAACCCTTTGATTCAAAATACCATACAAGCAAACCAAAAAATGGCTGCACAAATGACATGCATCGCTGAATTTTTTGGTGTGCCTCAACCCTCACCACATCCCCAGAGGGAACGGGTTAGGGAAAATCAAGGGGTAGTCTTTGAAGAAGACCCAACAATTAACCAAGTTCAACATAATCAAATGAATGCACCCCAGGCAAATATGGTAAATAAGGGAGGGGTAGTCGAAGTTCCTAGAGTTACGAATATCGAAATACCTAGAGCCAAACCTTTTAGGCAGGAACCACAAGTTCTAAGGAAACCAGAACCTAGGGTTATGATGGTAAATAGAAATCAAAATGATGATGAGGTCATATATCAAGTTCGACAAGACAACATGACAACAAATAACAATTTGGAAGCTATGGTCGAAAGAATTATCACAGAAAATTAAGTAAATATTGGTCTTAGTAGGCCAAATTACATTTTTCCTTTATTTGAATATATTCTGCAAACTTAATTGCTTCGGGTTTGGAAAGTACCAAAGTTCACAAAATTCTCTGGTGACACCAGCAGATCAACTATTGAACATATAACTAGTTACCTTACCGAGGCTGGAGATATAGCAAATAACGAAAACTTAAAGATACAATATTTTCCTAGTTCACTAACCAAAAATGCTTTCACATGGTTCACTAACCTTGCAGCAAATTCTATCCAAGATTGTACTTGTTTAAAAAGGTTATTTCATGAACAATTTTATGTAGGTCAATCAAAGATAAGCCTAAGTAGAATTGGCCAGCATCAAGCACAAGTTTAGCGAGCCAATTGATGATTACCTCAATAGATTCTGCCTATTAAAGGAAAGATGTTTTACCTAAGTGCCTGTACATGAGTTAATTGAGATGGCTACAAAAGGATTATATTTCTCCATTAGGAAGAAGTTGGATCCTCACTACTTAAGAGATATGGACCAATTAGAAGACAGGGTTCGACAAGTGGAGCGCTTAAAGGTCGAAAAGGCTAGAGCGAACAAAAGCCATAGAAAGGAAAGAGTTGTATATGTCGAAACCAGTGTAGATGAATAAGAAACCTGCAATGATTTTTCATACTTAGGAGAATGTGAAGTGGAATTGGCTGAATTAAAACAAGGCCCACCATATCCTTGCAAAGTTATAACCCCTTTGAATTTGAAGAATCCTATAGAATCAAAAAAGAACGACAAGTTCCATAAGAAAACACACACTTTCGACGTAAAAAAATGTGATGAAATATTTGATTTGTTGATAAAGGATGGCCAGATGATAGTGCCACCTTGTGCCAGAATTCCTCCGTTAGACCAATGGAAGAAAAGAGGTTTTTATAAATATAAAAAATTTCCGAGACATAAAACCTCACAATGTTTTCTTTTTAGGGATTTGATTCAGAATTCTATCAAGGAAGGAAGGTTGAAGTTTGGAGAAAAGACCAAAGGCAAAATGAAGGTTGATGCTGACCCTCTCCATGTAGAAGAAACCAATTATGCCAAAATTACAGATATCTATATGTTGGAAGTTGCTGGTGTCGACATTAACCAATACCTTGAAGACAAGATCAATGAAGATTTTGTTTCAAAAGTCGAAATAAAGGAGGATACTGAATGCCTTGCTAATACCTTGAACAAGATTACTGAATATTTTGTTACAGGTATCGAAGTGAAAAAGACTATTGAAGGTCTGATTAACCAATATATCACAGGCAAGATTGATGATGATATTATCACAAGTGCTAGAATGAAAAAGGCCACTGAAGGCGTAAGAGTCAAGTTTAAAAATGTCAGGATTACTGAAAGTTCTAACCTTGAAGTTAACATTATGGACTTGAACCAACCTACTCCTGAAATGGAAGAAATCGAAAGGCGCCTAAGAATGGAAGATAATCATCTTAGAAATTGTTACCCAAAGGCTGGAGAAAGTCTACTAGATTACCTGGTTTGCTGCCACAAAAAGAATCCTGAGGGGATAATGTGTCCCAGAGGCATCATAAACTATGATCGAAAGGCAACAAAAACTTATGAAAAAATATGATATGCTCGAACTGGGGGGAATTGGAGGAAAGATGACCAAATAGAAGTTGTCTACCCAAAATCTAGAGAAAGTTTGTTGGGTTTCCTTGTCCACTTCCACAAAACAAAATCAGAGTGCCTGATGTGCCCAAGGTGCAATGTAATTTATGATCGAAAAGTATCAGAAACCTTTGAGAGAGTCCCATATGCTTATTGTTGGGACAACCATAAGCGGCCTAGGAGCAATTTCACATTCGACAAAAGGGGAATTCCCAGAAGGCCCGATAGACCTTATGCTAAGGGGAATAAAATAGCTACCTTCAAGCCAACTACAAACATGCTAACTGACAGATGGATAAACCCGAACGAATGTTAGGGAGAAGTAAAGGAAAAATGGAGGAGTTTCAAAGAAGGAGGATGGAAATCCATAGCGTATCGAAAGAAATTCCAAGTGTCATGGCAACAAGCATAAAAGTTAGAAAATTATAAAGGGAAAAATCCCATGTCTAGGTCCCAATGGAGAAGACACCAAAGGATAAGGAAGGCGCAACTAGAATTGGTAGAATAAGAAGTGGGAGAGTCAAGTAGTAACAAACTTCCCTTAACCATCATGGTCAAA